GGGGGCAAACCTGCTACAATTTTTCGGTTGCCACCCAAAAATCTTGTACTAGACCTTCGACGTAAGTAATTAACTATTAGATTACTGTCAATTGAATCAGAAATAAAAAAGGCATCTTTTGCAGAGGTGATCACACTGAAGTCTGACTGATTTCGTTTTTTTTTCTGTCTGAAACATCTTCACTTAAAACCTCCAGTATCCACTGACATACTATTATTATTCTGTTGTTTAAAGAGAGGCTGTTTGCAGCTTCACGCAGAGGACATGAGTTAGAATCTCGTGTGAAGGAATGTCTTAATTTTAAACCTCCGGTATCAACGAGTATCTGCGGTGTAAAGATAATTTAGGCTTTTTGCAGTTGCACGAAGAGGACCCTGTGAATTCGATTCCAGTGTGGCAAGTTGTCTTTCCTTTAAACTCCATTAGTAATGATTGAAGCCCGATGCGATGAAACGGTTTGTATTTTCGACGTTAAACGCAGATGTTAGTAAGTGAGAAATAGAAAGGGAGAGGAAGAGTGAAAGGGGTGGGGGTAGGTCTATTTTTGACTAGCTCCCACCTGTTTGCCGTTTCTGGTTATGTCCATCACGTCAACTTCAATAACGGTCAGTGACCTCTCGTCCAAGGTCGGCATGCGACCTCTGCTGAACCGGAAGATGAGGCTAGTCTTCCCACTTCCGGTGTCGCCCACCACGGCCACTTTGTGACAGACGCGAGACAATAGATGGGAAGATTCCTGGCTCTTCTCTGTTGATGACCATAATATTTAATAGAATACATTATATTATTGTACAAACAAAATAAAAGTAGCCTATATTATACTGTTTAGTTTAGTTTTAGTGAGGTTTTACAGCGCTCACAACAGCATATGAGCGCCAAGGGGTCGATGTCAAAAGAGAAGTCCAAAAGAGGAATCAGGCTTACTTTGCTCACATCTCTAGCCTCAACAGCACAAAGTCTGCTTCGACTGTCAAGGCTCTCTGGACATAGCAGTTCAAAAGAGAGTGACTAACATGCAAAAGAAGTAGAGGAAAAATGACGGAAGTATTCATGAACTCATAAAAAGCAGCAGTTCCCCCTATATTGTTGCGGCACAGTATGAGCATGGCATTGATAAATCAGCCCATTTACAATTGTACTGTGTTTAAGAACATGTTAATCTAATGTCCCCCCTTTGGGAATGGCCTAAAGACAACTTCAGTCAGTAGCACTGCCCTGGTTTAGGGGGGAGGGGGTATTATAATAATATAAGTATAATTA